ATGGGGGATGGGAAGGAGGCTGCACACCCCCATGCAAGCAGGCGGGTACGACGTACCCTCCTGGGACCACCTCCGGCCACAGGCACCGAGAAAAGGGATGGCTGTCACGTGCCTTCCGGAGAGCAGAGGGGATGCCCCTGTGAGTGGGGTCCCATGTAAGACCCTTCCCTGACTCCCCTGGGGTCAGCCGGGTCCTTCCCCCCACTGAGCCCTGCAGCACAGCCCCCGCACCCTTCTCCTGCCCCCTCTCTTCCGGCAAGGACCCTGCTCCATCCAGGCCAGGCTCTCTGCCTCTCTGCATGGCCAGCTCCTGGTCCCGACCTCCTGAATCGCCCCGTCCCCCAAGCCACCTCTCAGACTCCCTCCCGGTGGCCCCAAACATCCCCTGCACCAGTCCCAGGGTCCCAGTGCTTAGCAGGAGATGAGCTCACCCCTGCCTGCTCTTCTCTGACGCGGAGGGTTTCACAGCCCAGGTGGGGGTGCTGGGGGACTGTGTTCTGTGCAGCTGGGGGGCTGTGAGTGAGCTCACAGAGCACTGTAGGGAGACTGCCAGTGCTCAAGGGGCAAATGGGTGCGTGAGGGGGACTCTCGCGAGGGGCGCACATGGCTGGAGGCGGGAGAGGGTCAGGGGGCCCCCGACAGGGAGTAGGACATGGCCATCAGAGCTGGGCACAAGTTCCTGGGGTGCCACAGACAGTTGGGCCACCTCCCCCAGACCCGAAACTTCTGATCTGGAAGAATGGGCCACGTATAGGGCTTCTTCGGGGGGGGGGGGGTGGGGAGGAAGTATGAAAACGTGCATTTCTAGCAAGTTCCCAGGTGAGGGTCTGGTGACCAAGCACGGGTTTGTTGAACACGGGGATGGCAGGAAAATATTTCAGCATTGCCGGGGGTGGCCTGGGGGGCACCGTGACATGGTCACCCCGTGTGGATCTCATCACGGGAATGAGTGTTTTCCCAGGAAAGGGGAGAGAGATGCGTAAGAGAGAAATGTAAGTTGATAGGTCTTTGCACAGGGGTCTGTGTGTGTGTGTGTGTGTGTGTGTGTGTGTGTGTGCGCGCACACGTGCGTCGGGGGGCCCAGAGGAATTTCTAGGGTTTGCCGAAATACACAACCACTGGGCTACAAATATGACACTCAATTCTAATAAACCTGCAACTTACAGTGGTGCACGGAATCCTTGAGAACTTATCAACGGAGTCCCAACCACCCCACCTGCCTTCCAGGTGATTCTGCAGTGATCGAAAGGGGAGAAGTGACCCCCCCACCAGCCTGCCCACAGGTAGCAAACACTCTAGAGGGATGCGGTAAGCCTGCATTTGAGCCCCGAAGATCTACAGGTTCGCGTCCCCAGACACTGAATCCCAGGGGACGCCTATGGCCAAGGAAACTTTAGCTGTCCCTTGAAAAGGCCCATTAGCCTGGATGGCACAGAAGTGTCCTGCTGCGGTCACAGTTATCCTCGGGAGTAGGGGCTGCACTGCAGAAGGACCGTGTGCGCCAACAAAAGTAGAGCCAGTAGAGCCAGGCCACACTCGTGCTGAGGGGCATGAGGAAGCGGCCCTGGCTAAGACGGACTCCACGCTCAGACAGTAAGTTGTCGCTCCTTTGTGACCCCAGCTCCAGGAAACTGAAGCGAGGAGAACCTGAAGGCTGGGCCCTTCTTGCTTGCCAGCTCTGATGCGGGGAGCCTGGGAGAGCCCCACTTTGGGAAGTACCGAGCTGTTCCAGGCCATTTGCAGAGAACCAAAGACCTGCTTCACGCCGGAAGGATGCTTCAAGACGCATGGGTACCTGCCTGATCATTTTCCAGGGAAACTGAGGCCAAGGACGCGCTGCCGCTGGCCAGCAGGTGCAAGGCACTTTCATTCAACTGTACCGGCTTTCAATTTCCCTCCCGAGATTTGGAAGATGCTCGATTCTGCCGCCTTTCCATAACCTCAGAACGACCCAATCCTGACAAGACTGAGTAATCCTGTTGCTAAAACTGCACCTGTGGCCACAGACCTGTGGGTACCGGCTGGTTATTTCTCGTTCCCCAAGAGCCCGGCACGCGGCATTACCAGGGAGCTAGTTCTAGAGATACAAGTTGACTTCGATGATAATTACTAGGCAACTGGCTAGAACACGCCATCGTGAATGTCTCCAGAATATGTCAGGTAATTATCTGGTCTTATGTTCCCCGTAAAATCAATCCAGGATCCAAAAACGGTTCCCGTTGGTTGGCCCCCTCCCAGCCATCCACCTCCCGCCAGCCAACTGTGCGAACGCGAGTGATTAATCCAATTACTCAAATGTTGAACGTTGGAGAAGAAACCCGGCTGGCCACAAGTGGAGGGTGCTCCACAGGAGTGGGGTGCACCAGGGCCACTCCCCCGAGATAACGACATAATGACACCCTCATAGGGGATAAATGCCACTTCTCTGGGCCTCATCCGGCTTCTTCACATAAAATATCCAAACACTTCAGAGACCAATTACATGTCCCAGTGCAGCAGCGTCTTTATGGAGGCACCAGGAGAACGGCAGCGCTATTTGTGAAATTTGTGGGCGGTTATTGCACGGGGGGCCGGCGGGGGGCCTTGAGTTCCCCACGCATAGAAAAGACGCGGGTTGCAGCTGGCCTGTGGGCTGAGTGGCTTGTTTCCATGAAGAGCAGCCAAGTTCCCAGATGCGGCCGGCTGAATCCGACCACTTCCCCAAGTCAGAAGGACAGTACGGCAAGGGGGCCGGGGGTCCTGAGGGCCAAGCCAGTGTCGGTGGAGGATTTCAAATGTCTGCTTTGGCAGGCATGAAGATGAGGGGGTAGGGGGCCAGAGCTGCAGGACAGCGGGGAGAGCATTTGCCTTGTAAGTGGCTGATCCGGGTTCAATCCCCGGCAACCCATATGGTCCCCCAAGCACCACCAGGAGTAATTCCTGAGAGCAGAGGCAGGAGGAACCCCTGAGCATCGCTAGTGTGACCCAAACAAGCAAAAAAAGAAAAAAGAAAAGAAAAGGAAAGAAAGAAAGAAAGAAAGAAAGAAAGGAAGGAAGGAAGGAAGGAAGGGGCTGGAGCGATATACAGCAGGTAGGGCATTTGCCTTGCACGTGGCCAACTGGGTTCGATTCCCAGCATCCCATAGAGTCCCTCAAGCACCATCGGAAGTAATTCCTGAGTGTAGAGCCAGGAGTAACCCCTGTGCAACACTGGGTGTGACACACAAAAGAAAAAGAAACAGAAAGAAATGGAAGGGAGGGAGGGAGGAAGGGAGGAAGGAAGGAAGGAAGGAAGGAAGGAAGGAAGGAAGGAGGTAGGGGTGGCGGAGAACGAAGGTGAGGAACTGGGCAGAGAGACTGCGGGGCAGCAGATTGGAGGAAGCATGGGAAGGGGTCAGAGTGGGCGAGAGACCGACATCTCCCACTGCCCTGCCCGCCCACCCCGTGGGGAATGAAGGCAGATGACCCAGGGCAGGTAGGAGCAACAGGAGGGGCAACAGGCTGCGAGAGGGGACCCCCCCAACCCCCAGTGGGTCCTCTGTGTCTGCGTCCTTGTTCTGACAGAGCAAATATCCCCGCCCAGAAGGTGTTTCTCCATGACCCGCTTCGGCCCACGGAGGCTGGCAGTGTCCCACTGGGAGGTGAGATGCAGACGAGATGCCACACGAGGGCCCTGGGAACCAGTCGGGTTTCAGGTGAGGGGCCGAGCAGGCACACGAAGGAGGGCACAAGCCCACGAAGCCCCCCAACCACTCCACCTGAATGTTAACCAGCAGACGTGAGTCTGCCCAGCCCCCAAGCGCCCCGCCAGCTGGACACACAAGCATCCAAGGACGCAGCTACCCAGCCCGGCCCAGAGAGGACCACAGTCACGGGACAGAGAAACGGAAATGCTCTGGGCGGGTCTGTGACTCAACAAGACCAGTGTATTGGGTGCACTCACCCAATCAGGACAGACCAGGGCCCCAAACAGGATCAGATGGATTACGGGGGGGTCACCCCTTCAGGGCAGAGCTAAAGTCCCGATTTTCACTCTGGTTTCAGGAGGGTCCTCTCAGCTTTCCACTCGCACTTTACCATTCACCCACTAGGTTCCAGGCGGGCCAGCATCTGCCTCGTCCATGGGGGTGGACAGAAGCCGCTTCCTTCCACACACCAGGTCTCAGAACAGACTCAGGAGGCTCTGCAGCCCCAGGGAAGAAAAGGGGGCCACAACAGGGGGCCCTGATGCCCATAGCTCCTGTGCTCGCACCAGCATTGCTGGCCTGTGTCCAGTGTGGCAAGGAGAAGCCTCCTGATTGGCGATTGGCACCAGGCCATGAAAAAATGTACCAAAGGAGCATCTCCCAGCTGCCCGGCTGGAGCTGCCTAAGATGTTTCTCCCTGCCCCACAGGATACTAGAAAAGCAGCAACTGCGGGTGGCCCTTGGGGCCTTTCCAGGCAAACCATGCGACTAACCACTGAGCTTCCTCCCTGGCCCCCAGGCTAAAGTATCTAAAGGATCCACAGACAAGTCCTACAAATGAGCCTTGGCAGCCTGCAAGACCACCAGAGTCATATCCACCAGCACTTTAGGTGAGGGTTGGCAGTCAAGGAGCCAGGGGCCAGGTCTTGCCCATCACCTGGCTTTAGAGACGAGGTGCCAGGAGCAGCCCGGGAGTGACACCTGTGGCTGCGAGCACCCTCGGGCAGCAGGGCTGAGTCCATGCCAAGCTGAATGGCCGCGAAGCTAAATATCTCTCCCACCAGCGCTTTAGGGGAAAATCTGACCCACCTCCTTCCTTCCACTGGCAGAACCCGGAGGGAAGTGGAGACCCCGTTTCTCTTGAGTCCCTGTTCTGCCCCACCCCAGGGATGGAGCTTGGAAAGCGATTTTCTGGATTCCTAACATCGTAAGCCACGTTAGCCATTAAAGGCAGAGTCAGAGACACCACGTGGACCCTGCTGGGGGGCTCGGCCGGGGGTGCTGAAGGGAAGGGGGCAGGGGGCAGAGGACAGGGGGCAGGAGGCGGGCACCGACCTGGTGATGATGGCCAGGTGGGGCGGGCTCATGCAGGCGCCCATGAAGAGCACCACGTTCTCGTGCCGCGTCTGCCGGTACGCCATCACCTCGCGCTTGAAGGCCTTCAGCTGCTCCTCATTGTCCCGCTCGATGTCGATGAGCCGGATGGCCACCTCCCCGTGCCAGCGGCCGTGGTACACCTGCCCGAAGCGGCCCTTGCCGATGAGCTCGCCCACCTCCAGCTGCTCGAAGGGGATGTCCCACTCCTGCAGGAAGATGCTGGTCTGGCTGGCCTTGCGCGGGAAGCTGCGCGCTGACAGCAGGGACAGGTTCATCTCCTCGAAGTCGTCCTCCGACTCCTCCGCCTCCTCGTGGCCCTCTTCGTTCTGCGGCGGGGGGAGCAGCGGACAGAGCTCAGCGTGGACCCTGACATGGCTCCCGCTGCCTGCCTGCGAGGCCTGGAGATGGGTGGGTTCACTCGGGGCAGCCCTCCGAGCTCAGTTCTGTTGCTTGTGTGCATGCATACACCCCCACACACTCATGTACACATAGGCACACACACATACTCACATGCACTCACACACACAGGCACACACAGTACTCACATGTACTCACACACACACATGCACTCACACGTGCACTCATATACACAGGCACACACCCACTCATATACACTCATGCATGGGCATGAACACGCACGCACACGCGCATGGATTCACACATGCACGCATACACATAGGCTCACACAATCACATGCACTCGTGTACTCACATGCACGCGTACTCTCACACATGCACTCACATAGGCACACACATGTACTCATATGCACTCATGTATGCACACACTTACGCACACATACACTTACACACATGCAGTCACGCATGCACTCGTGTGTGTACTCACACACAGGCACTCTGGGACCTGTCAGGAACAGTCCAGAGCAGGCAGAGACAGTGGTCTGACCGGGCAGGCACATTCAGCCAAGAGCCATCTTCCGGAACCCCGCCAGCCCTTTTCAACGAACCACATCAAACCAACGATTCCAGAGGGGAAATGATTCTCCCTGGAAATAAGGACTAGCGTGGCCAAGCCAAGGGTCTGAACCCCACGGTTCTCTCCTCAGCCTCTTCATTTAAATTCCTCCAGCAGCTGAGGTGCGTGGAAAGCAGCCGCAGGAATTCCCAGCACCCCACCAAATGCCGGGTGTCGGTGGTCCCCACCTCCCTGGCAGCAGGACACCCCCCCCCCCGCCAAGGAGCTGCGGGGGCCCCCAGGCTGAGCTTTCTACTAGGAGGGAGAGTCTTGCTCCAGCTCCCCAGAACCGCCAGCTGTAGGTGCTTGGCAGGTAACGGGCCATTAGGCCTGGCCAGGAGGGGCCCTGCCTGGCAACCAGCACCGAGAGAGACCATCTATCAAACAGGGCCAGCACCCCCGGGCGTCCCCAGGCAGTTGGAAAAAGTTGCCTCCCCTCCCGCCCCACCCCCCTACCTCTGACGTGGGCTCCACTTCAATTTGAAGTAATGGATTTCCTTCCAAGCTTGAAAGAAAGAAAGAGAAAAAGGTGACCTGTGGGCCACAGTGGGAACCCTGAGCTGACACTGCCCATGTCTGGGCTAATTCGGACTCCCTGGCAGAAAGCAGGGCGCGGGGACGTTGTTTTGAACAGATGTTCCGGGCTGCTCGGCCCGTGTTTCATGATTTGCGTTGGTCTCCCTGACTAATAGGTTCTTCATCAGCCTGGCCTAAACGCCACATGTCAGTGTTCACTGGGGAAGGACAGATCAGCTTTCAAAGGACACGTCTGTGGGGTCGGAAGCAACCAGGACCCCCACGTTGGCTCATCAGCTCATCCACTTCTTCCCAGGTTCCCGGGTCAGTGCCAGACCCTGAGTGGGTGACTGAGCTGCAGCTGTCGGGCTTCTAACCAGGACGCTTACACTTCTACAGAAGAGAGGCGAGATAAAAGGGACAAAGGGCAGGAGCAGTGGGGAGCCATGGAAATGCTCGGAAGAGGGACTGCTGGATGCGTCTGGAAGTTCCGTGTCTCAGTTGGTCCTTGCTAATCACACTGAACTGCTGCTATGTGCGCATGACTGGAAGACTCGTGTGTGTGTGTGTGTGTGTGCGTGCATGCCTCTCTGTGTGCGTGTGCGTGTGCATGTGTATGCACATGTGTATATGTGTGCATGTGTGCATGTCTGCATATGAGTGCATGTATGTGTGCGTGTGTGCGTGTGTGCATGTGTGCGAGTGCACACATGTGTGCACGTGTGTATATGTGTGCATGTATGCATGTGTATGTGTGCATGCATGCATATATGTGTGTGCGTGCATGCATGTGTGCACAGGTGTGTGTGTGCATGTGTATGCATGTGTGTGCATGTGTGTGTGTGTTGTGTGATCCAGGAGCTTCCCTTGTGTCTGCAGCATGAGAACATGCTGACAGGGCTTTGTATAAGGACAAAGCCTGTATAGGACACCCTGTAGGGATGCTAGGCTGTGTTCTGTGTGCCTGCGAGTTGAGCTGAGAGAGAGAGAGAGAGAGAGAGAGAGAGAGAGAGAGAGAGAGAGAGAGTTGGGCGGCATCCACAGATGATGGTGTGATGGGTACGGGAGGGAGGGGAGAGTTGGGGTGGACAGGGTGCCATGGGGGCCGAGGGGCTGTGTGTGTCACAGAGGTGATTGGGGGGGCGCTGCACCTTCCCGGAGCACAGTGGCATGTGGTGGCTGATCTAGAAACAGCAGAGCAGCAACCGGAGGAGGGCGGAATCACCAGGTACGTCTGCTCCCTTCCTGTCTCCTTGGGGCGGGGGTCCGGGAAGGAGGGGGCTGCCTGATCCTGACCCTCAGACCCCCAGACGCCGCAGCTCCTGCGGACGGGCTCCTCCCCGAGCCAGCGGGGCTGAGCGCCTGCAAGGACCTGGGGTGGGGGCAAGCTGCCGAGTGTGAGGCTTGTCACTGTCTCCGCCAATTATTTATAGCGCAGCCTGGGGAGGAAATCGAATCGCAGAGTGACAGTTGATCTGGGGGACTGTGCCCTCCCTGGCCCCCAGCTCATGCCGACCCTCTGCCTGCCTGCAGGCCAGCTCACAGCCCGAGGCCCTTGGCCGATTCCTTTCAGGAGCAGCGAGTGGCCGTCACCCTCTGCACATGAAAGCAGCTGGCAGGCAGTGGCCGCAGGCTCTTTGGCTCTGGCAGTCAGTTAATAACCCGCTCAGCTCACACGGACTGTGCGCTTGGTGTCCTAGCAGCCGAGTGACCGGGGGCCACTGTCAGCACCCACTCCCCCGGCAAGCGACTGTCCCTTCTTTAACGTAGAAAGGACAGGGACTAAGGTGCTTGCATGCGGCCACCACACGTGGCCTGCTGAGCACCACGGGGAGTGACCCCCAAGCACTGGGCCCTGAGCACCACCAGGTGTGGCCCCCAAACAAACAAGGATGAAACCATCAAGGGAGCTGGGATAAAAAGCAAACAGGCAAGTATGAAGGTGGCCACTCCCCCTCCCCCTTCATCACAATGGGGAGACTGATGCAGGTGATTTGGCTCTAGGCATGAAAGGCCACCTGGCAGGAGAGACTGTGTCCTAAAGACCCCCCCTAAAGGGGCAAAGGGTTGCCCCCCACCCCAAAGATGTTCACTGTGGTGCTGTTTGCAGCAGCGAAGATCCAGGCTGGAAGATCCAGCCCCAGGGGATGGTTCGGGACATTTTCTACATGGATCTGACATTTCACAGTCATTATAACTGAGGTCTGTGACGCATCCGAGACATGTGAGGAATGCTTCTCCAGGAGGGGATCACAGACCCGGCGGCCTGAGACCAAGGACGTGGTGTGTGGGTCACGCACAAAAACACCAGGAATCAAAGACAGTTACATCTTGAGAGCGTGCGCGCGGGCCTCCACCTTCCTCCACGGAGGGGCCCAGGCACCGGAACATGAGCTCATGCCCATGCCGGCATAAACCAGAAGTCAGCACACAGGCTCTGGACAGGGCCAGACAGTGAGCAATTCAGACTCCACGGCCCAGACGACGGTCTCCGTGGCAACCACTGGACTCGAAGAGTGTCATCAGAAAGTCGCCCAAGACTGTTGTCAACACACAGACGTGGCTGCCTTCCAATAAAACTTTATATATATAAAAGGGAAGCATGGCATGGCTGCCTTCCAAAAAATGATATATATTTTAAAAAAAAAAGCCCAGGCAGCAACAAGGGGGATTTGTGCCAAAAGCTGTGATCAGCTGAGCACAACAAACTGATATAAACCCAAATGACACTTTTTAAGAGCAGGGCAACAACCTGAAATGTGTGTCCTGTTCTTAAGCGCTTGCACTGTTGTCATTTCCACTTACAAGCCAGCTCGGGGTCCTGAGGACATGCTGCCACTCGGAATCCCCTCTCAAGGGCGGGGCAGAGCTGATGGAGGGTGGTAGGTGGTACCCAGAGGGCCCTCTACCTGGCCTGTCACCCCCCACCTTTAAGCCGACTCCTTCCAGTGTCTCTTTGTTCCCTCGGGTGTCTTCTTCTCCCCACCCCCCACTTCCCAGCACAGAGGAAACAAGGGGTGACCCCGGTCCATCGACTTACATTGGGTTGGAGGTCACCGGATGCAGGATGACCTGGGGTGCCCGCGTGGGCGTCTCGGGCACTGGCACCACATCTGTGTCAGAGAGGAGACAGTCAGGGACGTGGCCCCCCTCAGCCCAGAGCCTGGGAGACGCGGGCATCTCAGAACCATTTGTCCCTCTGTGGCCCCCTTGCCTTCCACCACCAGCTCTGGGACTAGCAGTCCCACCACACTCTGGGACAGGACCCCCGGGCTGCCTGGAGAGTGGCTGAACCCACCCCGACCACCAGCCTGGTCGGGCCCCCCTTCCTCTGAGCAAGGGGGCTTCCTACCGCTCTAGCCCCAGCTCCAGGCCCAGACACTCTCTCCCCTCCCTCAACCCTTGGATTCCTCCTCCCTGCCTGCTCAGGCCTGTAGTGGAGCCTCCCGGACTCTCTTCTCTCCGTCCATGATGACATCTAGGGAGTCTCCTGGGGTCTGACGATTCCCTTCCCCACCCTGACTATTCCAGCAGCTTCCATGCCCCAGGGCGCGGGACCCACCTGGGAAGATGAACTGTTGCTTGTACTTGTAGTAGTGAGATGCTGCAGAGAGAAGGACACAGAGTGAGCCACACCCCGGCCGGGCACCCACAGCCCACCCTTGTGGGCCTCCAGGTGACCAAAGATACACCCCCCCTGAAACTGCTGGACTGAAAAATGTGTCTCAAGAAAGCACAGGCCTAAACCCTCAAGCTAAACTCTCCCCAAGAACAGGATCTCGCCCCGAGGCACGGCCAGTGTTACCCTTTTGGTTCAGTGTCAGGCCCCCAAGGGCCAAGGGACAGCCAAGCAGTATCAGTTTTCCCTCCTGTTACCCAGTGGTGAGGGCAAGAGTGTAGGGACAGGCCCCTAGGGTGCCGTCAGGTGTGGTCACGATGGGGCCTCTCTCTCTGGTGCAGCCCGCCTGCACGTGGGCACAGCCGAAGGATGTGAAATCCCCAAAGATATGGCCAGAGGACCAGTGTCCCTGCAGCCTTGCTCAGCACAGGGCAGGGAATGGACCCGAGAAAGTACAAGGGCCGGGCAGACACAGAGAACATGGGCTAGAGGACACTGTTCTGTGGTGAAAGGATGGAAACCTGGCCACTGGCAGCAATCTGATGGGCAGGAGAGGACACGTCCAGGAAGGAAGTCAAACGGAGATGGACATGGAGCCCCCCGTCCCCACCCCAAGCAAACCAAAACCCATCACAGCAACAGAAGGGACCGCTGGTGGCTGGAGCAGCAGTGGGGGAAGAGGGACCAGACAGAGTCCTCCAGAGGCATAAAGGGAGAAGGGAAGTAAGTCTCGGGGCGCCGCGTTCAACAAGGGGCCCAGAGCCAGCAACCGGCTCACATATTTGAAGGTCAATGAGAAAAGCCAAGTTCTCCTCTCTTGGGAAGAACAATGGTGACCTTGCGAAGTCAGGGAGAGCAACACGACTTTACGGCGACCATTTTGCAATGTGGACGGCTACCAAAACACCACGAAGTTCCCCTTCAGCGGAGCCAATGTTCCGTGTCAGTGATATCGCAGTAAAGCTAGAGAAAGCCTTGAGGCGCAGCCTGTCTTTTCTAGGTCTCCTGGACTGACTGCAGGAAATTGCGTTCGTCTTCTTGTTGCTGCTACAACAGAACTGCTTCCGAGGGCCACGAGATGGATCCTCGGGCCTTCGGGAGGTCAGAGAGAGCTTGTGCCCGTTGCGGAAAGGGCTGAGCGAACTCAAGGTGTCTTTGGGGTAGCTGCCTCCCTACGGACTGTCTCTGACCCTTATGCCTTCCTCTATGAGGAGCCAACTCTGGCAAAACAAACGATCTTTCTAGAAAGCCCCCCAGACAGCAGGACCTGGTTATCTATCTCCAAGAACCAGGATTCTGCCTCCCACCAGCAAGGATCGATCAGTACACTGAAGGAAAGGCTGACACAAAAGGAACGTCCCCCCATTTCCACTGCTTCTCCTAAGGGGCTGCTGCTCCAGATTTCTCTGAGGACCTCTGAGGTCCTGGAATCTGCCTCAGGCCTGGGATCTGGGATCGCAGGGTCCCTGGGATCTGTCTCAGCCCTGGGATCTGAAACAGGGAATGTGAATGGGGAGCAGGTCCCCCAGAGCTCTGCACCGAGCACAGGAGAGGCGCAGGGGTGGGCTGAGTCGGGTGTCTGAGGGAGTGACTCTTCTGGAAATGCCTGGGAGTCATGCTAGAGCTGGGACTGGGAACACTGTGCTAGCCTGGGAGGCCAGGCCAGGAGTCTGGAAGACGATCCATCCTGAAACCCTGGCTCTCACTGCAGCCACCTGTAGAAGTCTCTAGAATCAATGCCCACAGGCATAGACTGTACCTAAAATGAAGTGAATAGGCTCACTCCACGGGGACCGAGATCCCTGCCACATAGAGTCTCTGTCCTGCTCCGCAGATGCATCTTGTCACTGTCTGAAGGTCTGTGACTCCCTACGCCGAGTAGATCCATGGGTGCCTCCTTGAACATCACGGTCCGCTTGGAATCTGCGTCACATCTCGCCCCGGGGCAGGCGCTGCGTTTCAGGGACATGCCACGTGTGTGCAGGAAGTCAGGCTATGGCACAGGTTCTAGGACTGTGGACTAGGACAGGTTCTGGAAAGCCAGGAGTTCTGTGCTGCTCGCTTACAGTCAAATTCCCTTTGCTTGGCCGCCGGGAGCTGAGCCGGCACATCTCCCAGGCGTGCCTAGATTTGCTGCAATAAGACAGCCAACGGTTTTCTAAGATCTCTGCACTAATAGACCAGAGGGAGCGATAATGAAGAGATAATCGATCGAGTTGAGGCTGAGCTGGCTGTGCTGGAGAAGGGGGGCGATTCTTAACCTCCCTCGGGATGGAAAGCCCTGGTATCTTGCCATCCCCCGGCAGGGTCTTTTGCAATGGCAGGTAAACGGGGGAGCGTGTGGATCAAGTTTGTTGAATGAACACACTCTCCTCTCATACAGCCGTTCAAAATATCCCAGGTGCAGGAATTTTTTTTTTTGTCTTTTTGGGTCACACCAGTGATGCTCAGGGGTTACTCCTGGCTCTGCACTCAGGAATGACTCCTGGTGGTGCTCGGGGGACCCTCTGGGATGCCAGGGATCGAACTGGGGTCAGCAGCATTCAAGGCTAATGCTTGACCTGCTTGTACTATCGCTCCGGCCCCAGTGGAGGCATTTTCTTTTTTCCTTTTTGGGTCACACCCAGCATTGCAAGGGGTTACTCCTGGCTCATGCACTCAGAAATTACTCCTGGTGGTGCTCGAGGGACCCTATGGAATGCGGGGAATCGAACCCGGGTCAGCCCTGTGCAAGGCAAATACCCTACCCTCTGTGCTATCGCTCCAGCCCCAGTGGAGGCATTTTTTATTCTGGAAAAGGAGGTTCCCAGGCTGGGCAGCGACCTTATTCAAAACCACGGTGTGAAAATTCCAGAATGAACCCCCTGTGGAGATCTTGCTTCTGTTTCATGCCCCTCAGTTTCTCGCCAGCCAGCCACCTAAGTGCACTGCGTCAGTAGCACGTGGGGTTCAAGTTAGAGCAGGAAACCCAGCCGAGGTGCCCAGGAGGCTTAGCTGATCCCTGGCCTGGCAGCAACAGCTGGGGCGAGCGATCTGGTGCCGTCTGGGCAGAGGGCGGGCGAGGCGGGCGCTGTCCTGGGAAGGGAGCTGCGGGACGCACCCCCTCCGCCCTACCCAGCCGCTCACGTGCAAACCTCGAGACACTGTGTCTCCTGACGTGACAGAGGGACTTGGCTGAGGGGACGCGGTCCCCCAGCCTGAGACGCAGTCCCCACGGGGTCCTTACAGGGCGGAGTGGGAGGATGGGCACAGAGATGGGGCATCACTAGAAGCCGGGCAGAGGCAAGGCAGTATCAGTCCCCAGAACCTCCTGGAAAGCCAGCCCTGCTGACACCTTTATTTTTAGCCCAGTGATACGGGCTTGGGCCTTCTGCCCTTCATCCGATAATGCTTTGGTGCTGTTTTAGGACGTGAAGACAAAATGTGTTACTGCAGCACCAGGCAGCGTGTATAGGAAAAGTCTGGTTGGAAGTCCCAGCCCCACAGGGGGTATCTAATTGGTGTCCACCCCATGGGGGCGTGTCTGCTTGGTGTCCCACCCCCACAGGGGCTTTCTGATTGGTGCCCAACCCATGGGGGCGTGTCTGCTTGGTGTCCCACTCCCACAGGGGCTTTCTGATTGGTGCCCAACCCCTGGGGGTGTGTCTGCTTGGTGTCCCACCCCCACAGGGGCTTTCTGATTGGTGCCCAACCCCTGGGGGCGTGTCTGCTTGGTGTCCCACCCCCACAGGGGCTTTCTGATTGGTGCCCAACCCATGGGGGTGTGTCTGCTTGGTGTCCCACCCCCACAGGGGCTTTCTGATTGGTGCCCAACCCCTGGGGGCGTGTCTGCTTGGTGTCCCACCCCCACAGGGGCTTTCTGATTGGTGCCCAACCCATGGGGGCGTGTCTGCTTGGTGTCCCACTCCCATAGGGTTTGTTTGATTGGTGCCCCCACCCCCATGGGGGGTGTCTGGTTGGTGCCCCCCCCATAGAGGCATGTCTGATTGGTGCCCATCCCACGGGGGTGTGTCTGGTTAGTGTTCCAGCCCCACAGGGTGTATCTGATTGGTGACCCCTCCATGGGAGGGCATGTGTGGTTGGTACCCTGCTAGCACAGTGTTGTCTGATTGGTGCCCACTCTTTGGGCATGTCCGGTTGGTCCCCCCACCCCCACCCACCCCCACACACACTGGGTGTTCCCACAGCAGCTGCTACAGCAGAGGCCTAGTAAACGCCCCATAGGAAAATGAGCGGGGGAACGTGGTCGGAGACCTGAAGACAACTGAAAGAGAAAGCCCTGCAGCTGTGGGCCAGACAGAGCCTCCAGTCACCCATCCACTCCCACACTCACTCAACAGCCAGTAATGGGACCTGAGCTAGGGGAGGTGGGGGTGGGGGGAGGGGAGGGGAGGGAAGCGGGCAGCTGCAGTCTCCTGGGCTCCCGTTCTGATGGGGCAGGCCGACCTAGACAAGGGCACCCGTGAGCAAGGTCCTGCCAGGCGCCCAGGAGCACTGCACTGAGGGCGCAAGAGGGAAGCGGGTGAGTGACTAGAGGGAGAAACGCCATGGCCTGAGGGAGAGCCCGAAAACCCCACGGCCTCCACCAGAGGTGGGTTCTGCTCTTCCTTCCTGCTTCTAACGCCACACGGATTTGTGTTTTCTACGGCATGCATGCAGTGTGCAGATTCATGGGCCCATGCCCATGTGCGCAGGCGTGGGTACCCCTACGTGGCTCTGGCGACTCAGAAGAAGGAAGGCACTGGAACATTCTAGACTAGCCATCCCGCAGCAAGGCCCAGCAAGTGGGGGCTCTGGGGGCAGAGAGAAGCCCTGCCACGGACCTCCCTCAGCAGATGTCACTCACACAAGCAGCATCACTCACCCAACAGAGGGGAGAAACTGAGGCACAAACAGGGCAAGTGCCCTGCTCAAGGCAGGGCAGAGTAAAGGAGGAATGCCAAGCCAGCCCTGCCTGCTCACGTGGCACCTGGCCTTCACCTTGCCCTGCACAACACAGTGCCAGGTTCTGAAAAGCAACTCAGAACCTCTCCACGGAAGAGCGCAACCATGACCCCAGCCACGCCTGGGCAGGTCACACGTGGTTTCCCTTGCCCCAAAACTCTTCCCTTCATGTGCCCTGACACGAACAAGTGACCCAAATGTCTGCTAACCCACCTGGGCAAGAGGTCTGTGTGCCCTTTCTAGTCATGAGTTTGAAGGATCCTTAGGACCCCCAAGATCTGCCAGGGAACCACAAAGACCCACCCCCAGCCCAAAGGTTCTCTGTGAAACTTATGATGAGTGGCCAGGGCTTTGGACAAACAGGACAGGTGCCTGTCACCCTGGGGAAACTTTTCTCTAGAAGCACCTGAGATCAGGAGAGGTCCGTGTGCCCTCGGGGGAGGTCAATTATTTTCCCTTCCCAGCATTCCACAGTACAATTACCATTCCGTTAAGAAACCACTGTGCACTCCTCCTTATTATACCTAGAGAGAAGTGCATAAAACAGAATTTCTCTCCTCAGAGAGAACTGACACAAAGTTTGGCAGACTTTTTGGGTACCTATTCAAATACAAATATAATCATTATACCATGAGAAGGATGTTAGAGTGCTTCACAAGACACTTAGTTTTCCATTTAAAATACATAATGGATGTTTTTCCAAGCCAGGATACCTAAGTGGGCTACTTCACTCTTTTTAATAGTTTTATATATTTCTGTGTATTCAAACAACGTCCACTTGAAGTTGCATTCTGGCAGGGTCCAAACACAATGAAATCGCGACCTGAAGATTTCTGTTTCCATCATTATACAAGGATTACAGTTGGTCCAAGGATGCATTTTAGCAAGTGACAGAGCCACAGAATAACAGTCACAAAAGTGACAGCCATGAAAATGACAGACACACTCCCAGGATAGCTTTGATTTTGAAAGTCCCAGCCCAAGTTTCCCCAAACTCTGACCATGTCGAATCTCCTTCCCCTGCAAATTCAACTCAACACACACACACACACACACACACACACACACACACACACACACACACTCTGCAACACCGGGTACATGAAATTCCATCTTGAGTCCCACGATCCTGGTTAGCCCACGATTAACAACAGTGATGATGAGAAATGCTCAAAGGGCAGCCAGGGCCATTGATTAGGCGGGTGCTCGGCTGGTGATAATGCCAATGGCTCACATGTGCTGTGGTCTTTGGCGAGACAGACCCTCCGCTCGGCTCTATCCTAACCTGGAAACGTTTGGTCCTTCTATAGTTCCATAGTCGGTGCTATTACTATCCCCATTTTAGAGATGAGGAGCCAGAGGCATATGGAGGTAAATTCTCTGTTCAACATGCAGACGTTAGGGGTAGAGGTGGACTATGAACCGACGGCCTCTAGTCCACTACACCAGGGCAGGGTGGGGTGTGTTGTGCCATGCAGCATGCATGGGTCGCCTGGCAGAGCCCTGGCAGGGACTCTGAAGGAAGGAAAGGCAAGGGACACGGGGCCTCCCTGCGACACCACCAAGGTCCTTCGGGAGAGAAAAGCGTGCTCTCTGCGTGGTCCTCTCTTTAGAGCAGGTCTTTTACTTTAAGCTATGACCCACCCAAAGAAGCAAATCATCTTTTTTTTTTTCTTTTTGGATCACACCCAGCGATGCTCAGAGGTTCCTCCTGGCTCTGTACTCAGGAATTACTCCTGGCAGTGCTCGGGGGACCCTATGGGATGCTGGGAATGAAACCTGGGTTGGCTGCATGCAAGGCAAATGCCTTACCCACTGTGCTATCGCTCCAGCCCTGAAGCAAATAATCTTAAGGAAAATATTCCTAGAGTTAGTATCCGCTACTGGGAAAAGGAGCAGCTCTGGGAAAATAATCAAACTCATATGTCCCCCATGTGGAGAGCCCTGGGGGCCCAGGGGGGCTTTTTCCCACGCTTGTCCCCTCCAGAGGAGCGGAATCAGTGGGTTCAACCGTGGGAACCCTCTGCCACGGAGTGCTAACTGCCTGGTAGACGCGGGGTCGACACTGCAAGAGTCCAGCAGAGGACACCTCTTTGCGTCTGGGGGTCTGTCGGGTTCTCACACCCGGCAGAGCCCAAGCTTCCTCTGACTTAAAAATACATCTGAAAAATCCCATGTCACAAAACTTCAAAACGCACCCACCCCGGCCCACCCAGGCAGCAGCTGAGTGCCAGCCTACCCTTAATGGATGGTGGTGCCTGGGGGCCATCAGGCGTGGGGGGCTGGGTCTCTGTTCGATAACACGTGCATCAGCAGCCAGGGGCTCTGGACCTCGGGGGTCCCTCTCGACCACTACATCCTGTCAGAGGTGGAACGTCTCGAGTCAGAGATCAGTGGGCAGGGGTGGGCTTTGCCGGATGCTCAGGGCTCCCCACATGTCCATTCAGCCCCACTCTGCCATCAGGTGGGGGCTCAGATATATCCCCACCCCACCCCCACCGCACTCCAGTGAGGGGCACAGGTTGTGGGGAGCACTTTCAAAGGGTTCAGCTCCCAAGGTGAAGGCCAGCTCATGAGCTGTGCGCCCCTGCTGGGGCTCAGATTTGGGGGGCCTGGGTGGGGGGAGGAGGATGCTTCTGTGACCACAGGGAGGACAGTCCTGTGTCTCTCTACCTCTCAGTTTCCCTGTCTGTAAAGTGGGGCTGATCATGATCACCGTGTGGCCATCCAACCAAACAGATGTCACCTGGGGCCACCACCCTGAACCCCTGCACACAGGTTCTATCCTCCCATCTCGGCCCTGGCACCTTCCTGCCCGGTCAGCTTCTGGATCTGGCTCTGCCCCTTGCATCCCTGTTAGCCGGCTCCCCAGTGGTACCTGGCAGGTTGAAGCTCTTCTGCTGTCTCGTGCACTGCGGGGACGGGTGCAGGGGAGAAGGCGGCGTGGCACTCGGAGGCAGCGGGGGTGCCGGCGAGGAGGGCGTGGAGGAGGTCGTGGACGAGGGGTTACTGCTTGAGTCCGGCTGGTAGGGGACAGGGATGTGGTCCTGCAGAGACATGCAGGGACAGGGTGACGAGTGAGCACATCACCTGTGGACCCCTCTTGCCCCAGCACCCACAGCCTAGACCCTGACCAAGCGCCAACCTCCCCTCACCCCAGCACGGTCGTCCCCCACTCCCTCCTCTCCACTGCACTGCACCCAGCTGTGCGGACTTCAGTAGAAGGTGACCACGTAATGACAGTTACGAGTGACAGCCACGGAAGTGAAAGCATGGAATGACAGCCACGGAAGTGAAAGCATGGAATGACAGCCACAAAATAACAGTCAAAGAAGTGACAGCCATGAAAGTGACAGTTACCTAATGACAGCCACTTAAATGACAATCACAGAAGTGACACACACACTCTCAGGATTGCTTTGATTCTGAAAGTCCCACCCCAAGGTATCCCAAGTGCTTTTTCCTGCCCCTTCCTCTGCTCCCAAGTTTTCAAAGAACAGCCTGACAGTGTCACCGAGTGGGTCCCAGGGAGGAGCTCAGTGGGAAGCAGCTGCACGGCCCTGACCCTGCAGGAAGGTGAGGGCAAAGGTCATCAGGTGCCCCTGGGAAGGTCCCGGCAGGGTGCTGCGGGGAGGAAGCCGTGCAGAAGCCTGGACAGCACCCCCAAAGACATGCCTATCAGGGATCTTGGCTGTGAGCTGTTCAGTGTGAGAGATCTAGAGATGCGTCATCTCGGAGCGGGGTCCGGCAGGGGTTCCCCAAAACCCAATGACTGGTGTCTAAGCCCACAGCGGGACCCACAGATGCAGGGGGAGCCCGAGGACTGCCAGGAGTGAGAAAGGGTTCACTTGCTTCAGTTCTGGTCTGGGAAGCAGGTACAGGGTACCAAGGGGACAGAGACGCCACCTGGTCCTTGGAGCCGGGTCCAATAATTGAGAGATCAGCCTGCATTATGCAAATAAGCCCCCACAATCACTCCAGCCCCATCAAATGAGAACTGAGAACTGTCCCTCAGGGATGTTAACAGCTGACTTCCAGGCTGGAGGCGGCCCTGGGGCAGGCCTGAGAAGGACAGTGGACAGTGGCTGCCTCCACGGCTGGCTCTGGGTGGAGGCCAGCAGAGAGACAAAGACCTCAGGCACGCAGGCCCTAGGAACAGAATGAGCCCCAAACTCCGTGTGGACACAGCTCAGTACCCAGGACTGTGACTTGGAAGGTGACCCTGCCCACAGGCCCTCCTTGGCCTTGTGAGTCCTCACCTAAGCCCCTGGCCCACCGCACTTCTGACTTAAAGGACCGAGACCTCAGGCACGGGTGTGGCTCTGAGCCACCAAGTTTGTGGGTCTGTGTTACGGCAGCCATGCAAGCCCATACATGGTTGGAAATGTTTCTGCCTCAGGACTTTTTTTTTGCTTTATTTTTTTGGGGGGGGGGTCACACCCAGCAATGCACAGGGGTTCCTCCTGGCTCTGCACTCAGGAATCACCCCTGGCAGTGCTCAGGAGACCATATGGGATGCTGAGAATCGAACCCAGCTCAGCCGCATGCAAAGCAAATGCCCTACCCGCTGTGCTATCATTACAGCCCTGCCTCAGGACCTTTGCATAGCAGTGCTTTCTGCCACCACAGTCTTGCCACAAATACACAGCTGGCTCTCAACCCTATCAGTAGCATCATGTTGTGACCAGCCCAGCCCTGGCCACCACTGGTCACTCTACCCCACTCAGCACCCCTCGCCTTCAAACGCACACAACTGAGAGAGAACATTGCGTCTGTTCTCTGAAGTCTGTCTCCATTACGAGCACGGGAACCTCTGGGACAATGATCTTTTTTTCCCTTCACTGCTGCCTCCCGGCCCCTGGGATAGCGCGTGGGCACCAGCTATGACTCAGAGCATCTTTTGTGGCCCCTGGGCCCTGGGTCTGAATCCTGACTGTGTGAGCCCAGAGTAGGGTCCCGGCCCCTTCAGTAAGCAGCTTCGTCATCCACAAAACTGGGGTGAAGACAGCGCCTCTCGGCCAAAGGCTTCTGCCGAGATGGATTCGCCGCTCCGTGGGTGTTTACAGCATGCGAAGTGCCTGGCGAGAGCAACAGCTTTGTTAAATAAACAACTTGCTGAGCAGTGCCGTGAAGCCGGGCAGCCAGCACTTAACCAACGGGAGCTGTTATCTACTGTCACCCTTCGTCACCCCGGAAGGATCAATCGAGTCCTACTTCTTTCACGCACAAGCCCTCGTACCAGAGAGCCAATCCATGTCCCCAAAGAAAGTAGCAGAGAAAGAACTGGGGCTGTGTGTGTGTATGTGTGTATGTGAATGTGTGTGCATGTGTGTGTGGGTGCATGTGCACATGTGTGTGTGTGTGTGTGCGTGTGTACGCATGGAGGCCTTCCCTCTCTGTTCCTTCTTTCTTTATTTTTTTTAATTATTTGTTTTTGCTTTTGGGGTCATACCTGGAGATACTCAGGGGTCACTCCTGGCTCTGCACTCAGGAATTACTCCTGGTGGTGCTCAGGGGACCATATGGGATGCTGGGAATTGAACCCCGGTTGGCCGCGTGCAAGGCAAACACCCTCCCCGCTGTGCTATTGCTCTAGCCCCTCTGCTCCTTCTTTAATTGGGTCATGTGGCTGACCCCATGTGATGACAGAGACCTCTGAATTGCCTCGGGGATTCCAGCAGATTCAGGGTTCCGGGTGCCCCATCCCTCCTCACACAGGACACTGGCCCTCAGTGCTGTGTTGCCTTGAGGTCTATCCCTCAGGACAAGGGCAGGGGGGTGGGTGGGGAGGGAAAGAGGTGACCGCTGCTGTCCTGCTCACCTATCACACAGAAGGGCACCTGGGAAAAGCCACGGAATAACAGCCACAGAAGTGAAAGCCACGTAATAACAACCACCAAAGTGACATCCATGACAGTCATGGAAGTCGTCACGTGGTTGTGATGATAAAGTCCTCAGGGTGCCCACCTCCCCACTTCTCCCCAGGCCCTCTCCCTGCCAAGGCGCAGCCCTCTGAGAATCAGAGGCCCCTAGTCCTGGCCTGTGAAGTGTGATGTGGACTGTGGGGGTCTGAGCACAGCTGGGGGCCCGCTCTGAGTCAAGGAAGTGCTGAGCCCCAACTTGCTGCTGGAGGCCTCTGTGGACCACAGACATCAGCCACGGTGGGAGCGGGGAGAGCCAGATAGCGCCCCCCAGTGAGCCCTGTGACATGCCTCGGGGTCCCAGGGAGGCACCATGGCCCAGATGGTGCGCGAGACTACCCAGGCCCAAGCTCCCCCAGGGTGCCCTTCTGTGGCGACCTCCACACCCTACGGCCAACAAGACTGTCCCCGTGTATTCAGACGTGGAAATGTTCTAGAAATGATGGGGCCAAGAGATTGGCGCGGGATCAGGGCATGTGTTAGGAGGCATCACAAATCCCCCCGAGCATTGCCGGGTGAGGCTCGGGAGACCCCAGAGCACTTCTGGGTGAGGCCTGGTCACCCCCAGCACCACGTCACGGGCCCTGTAGTGAACTGTGGGCCCACGGCTGTTCAAGAATCTCTCGTGGGAGCCCTGGGAGCCCCCCAAGAGCCCCCCAAATGCAGCCCCACAGTATCTGCTCTGTTCTCATCCGTCTCTAAACATGGGTTTATTAACGCTGCTCTTGGCTGGGGGACATTGCCCGCTGGGGTGGGGGGACTCGCTCCACCCCCTTTCACCCCTGTGGGCCAGCCCGGCTGCACCCCCGCCCCCTGCACTGAGGCTACTCTGCAGACTCGGGTACAGGGCTGGTGGGCTCCCACGGTTTTATGTCTCTGGGATAAAAGCCGAGGAAGGCGATGTCCAGCGAATCTGATAATTGCATGTTTTGTTTTTAAAGAAATCAGCAAAAACCTCCTCCCTGGAGTCGTGGCGCTGCTGTTTCTGACAAGCCCCTCCCCCAGGGTTGTCATCATCCATCACAGGCAGGTGTTGGCATCCATAGCTTTTCTGTGCAGGGGCTGCTCCCAGTGGTGCCAGGCTGGGGGGTGAGGGGCTGGGGAGGGGCGTCGGGCGCTGTTCCCCATTTGGCCTGGGCCAGAGTGCTTCATGGTCTGATGCTCACGGGCCCCAGGACGGCACCGCAGGAGACCCCCTCGGCAGGTGGGGGAGGTGGGTGAGAGCTGCTCATTTTGCCCAGTGGGGGGCGTGGTCTTCCCCAGCATCTTCTCTGGCCCACTCTGGCGGGGGCGGGGGGTGCCAGACTGCAGTGGGTCTAGACTCCCCATTGAGGTGGTCCGTGCCTCCTGTGGTGGGAGACAGTGGCCAAAGCATGCAGATTCCCCGCCCCCCCACCGGAAACGATCCCCGTCCTCATCCTTTGACTGGTGGGGGCAGGCTGCTGGAGAGCAGGTCTGGGATTGTCCCTGTCATCACCCAGAGCCTTCCTGTTCGAGTCTGGGGTGGGGGAGGGAGCCCTAAAGCTCTCGCTAGGCCCGTCATCGTTGCTAGGGTCCCCCACTCCCCAGCACCCCTGCCTCTCCCTCCAGACATGTGGCTGTTTTCTGTCATTCCAGGACATCATGTCCTGGGGTTTGTGGGGCGGGTGGGGGTACCTTGAGTTCACTTTTTTTTTTTTTGCTTTTTTGTGTCACATTTGGTGATGCACAGGCGTTGCTCCTGGCTCTGCACTCAGGAATCACTCCTGGCGGTGCTTGGGGGACCCTATCGGATGCCAGGGATCGAACCCAGGTTGGCTGCATGCAAGGCAAACGGCCTCCCCACGGGACTGTTGCTCTGGCCCCAGGGAATTTCTTAAATGTGAAGTTAAGAAGGGGCGAGGGATTTGTTACATACACGGAACAAATCATCACGAAGAACTTTATAATAAAGAAATGAAAAAGAAAAGATGCAAAGTAAAAGAAAAATGTCATTGTGGTAGCAAGCTTAACTGCCTCAACATAGCTGGCTAAGGTTTATTGCAGGAAATTTACTGCAGTTAAATATAGTTTTCCTGGAACTTCAAAAAAAAGAAGAAAGAAAAGAAAGGAGGAGGGAAAACTGGGGGGTTAAGGCATTTGCCTTGCGTGTGGTTGACCCAGATTCAATCCCGGCACCACATACCGTTCATCAAGCGTCCCCAGGAATGATCCCTGAGAGCAGAGAGCAGCAATAAGTCCTGGGCGGGTGTCACCCAACTCTGTTCTCCCCCTCAAAATAATAATAATTAGAAAAAGGATGGGAGGCCAGCCTAGCATCACTTATGAGAAACTCTGGATTCCATTGCAGTGTTTGATAACTCAGCAATTAGAGTTCGACCAATATGCTCTGCCCCATTTAAAGTAAACTCGTTTGTTACCTCTGCCTCTGTTCCTTCTCCTCTATCCTCCCATTCCTTCCTCTTCCTTCCCTGTCTGCCTCCTCCTGTTCCTGTTCCTCCTCCTCCCTCTCCTCTTCGTCATCCACCTCTGTCCGTTTTCTGGGGGTGGGACTTGTTACTGATCACTTCCTTTGATTCTCCCCAATAATCCTATCAGCCTGCCCCATTCCCAGGGAGGGGAAACCGAGTGCTCTGGTCACAGAGAAAGCGAAGAAGCTGGGACTCAAGCCCAGGCGGGCCGCTGCCTCCAGACCGCACCCCCCCCCACCCCCCCAAGACGCTGGTGAGAAAGCCGGACTCGGGCGAGCCACCGAGAATCACGAGGACGGGGAACGTTTCCAACCAAATCGACTCAGAAATCTGCTGCCCCGTCTGCATTGCTGCCTGACAGAAAAGATCTGCGTGAACCAGCCAGGGGAGAGGAACGAGGAAAAAATAGGCCAGTCCTGACGATAAGGCCCGTGCTCGTCCCTGTCCCAGCCCCACTCTGCACCAGGGTTAATTGACATCTCTTATCGCATTCACCGGCAGGGGATGAACAGAACCATGTCGAAGCCTGGCTACCTCGTGCCCCGCCCAGTGGGGCGCCCGGGGGCTCCGTGTGCCTCTGAAACCACAGGGCCAGGGTTTGAGGGAGTTCCGAGCCTCACCCACCCCAGACAGTGCCAAGGAGAGGCTGCGTTCTGGACACACACACACACACACACACACACACACACACACACACACACACGGCATCACCCCGGGAGCTGCAGTGCTGGCTCCCCTCCCCCCGTCCTCCCGGGGGTGGGGGACCCCCTCTCCCAGGGGCCTCAATCTTTAAAGCAGAACAAGGGAAGAGTGGCCGCAGGGTGACATTTGGATGGCAAGTCCCACGATTGACGCTGATGATAATAGCTAGAAATTTCCAGACACTGACCACGCATCTGTAACTTCACACTGTGCTTTCACGTTGATTATTCCATCCCCTCTCCCCAGCCCTTCCCCGAGCTTGCTGCTCTCCTAACCCACCCAGGGCAACGGGGGGGTAAGAGGGGAGACAGTGCTCGGGGTGGACTCCTGGCTCAGGGATCACTCCTGGTGGAGCTGGGCGGGGAGGGCACAGCTACCACAGGCAGTGCCAGGGGTTGGGGCCAGGGTCAGCTGTATGCCAGGCGAGCACCATTACCCCTGTACACACACACACACACACACACACTCTCTCTCTCTCTCTCTCTCTCTGTGCGTATATTTGTCTCTCTCTCTCTCTGTCCCTGTCTGTCTCTGTCTCTCTGTCTCTCTGTCTCTCTCTCTCTCTGCCCCAGCCCTGGGCACTGCAGAAGCACAAACAGTTCGGACTATGCCCCACGGGCAGGGATGGGGTCCTTGGTTCTGGGTCACCCCGGATCTGCTCCCCGTGCACCAGACTCGATCCTGCCAATATTCTGATCTGCCTCCTTGAGACGGTGCTTGGGCCAGGCCACCAACGTCCACGCAACCTCCGCCTTGTTGGCTGGGACCACCCACTGGGCACCTGGGCTACAGGGCAAGGGTCCTGAGTGCCCGGAAGCCACTGTGGATGTGCCCAGGCGGGCGCTTCTCCCAGCCTGGCCTGACTCGCCCTGGCACTTCTAGATCAGGGAGTGACAAGATATTTCTTTCCTTTTGGTGTGTGTGTGTGTGTGTGTGTGTGTGTGTGTGTGTGTGTGTATGTGTGTGTGTGAGGGGGAAGGGGTGTTGGGTCACAGCCAGCCATGCTCATGGGCTATTCCTAGCTCTGTCCTCAGGATCAGTTCTGGCGGGCCTTGGGGGGACCGTGTGCAATGCTGGGGTCTCCCCAGGGCCAGCCAGCGCCGGATCTGCCACACTGTCTGTCTCTCCAGCCCCCAACACTTTTTTCTGACATGGCCCCAGGGTTAATACTTGAGCGTTTGGGAGCCATGCGGAACCGCGACCCCTGAGTTTGCTGCTGAGCGAGAGGGCGTCACAGGTGGCGTGGCAGCCGCTGGGTCCAGAACCAACGGCAGCTGGATCTAGCTCCCCTCTGGCCAATGACCAGAACAGACGATGCCAGCCCAGGCCGTGCGAATCTTCCTGGTCAAGCCATCATGGGTTGGAGACAAACCGTCCCACCTGCCCTTAGCCCGGTCCTAACGGCAAACGCCTTGAGCAGCAAGGAAGAGCTAGAGCCGCCCTCCGCCTCGGGAGGAGGAGCAGGGTGGCCCTCGGGGAATGAGCAAGCACTGCCCTTTGCAAGAGGACGTGCCAGGCCCAGGGTCTCAGGGCGGGGGCTGGGTGGTCTCTCTGAAGCTACGTCCCCCCCGCCTAGAAGATCCCGCAGGTGCAGTGGGCCCCAGCAGAAGGGATCTAGGGAGAAAGGAGGGCGGGACAGAGCAGGGGAATGTGTCATGCACACTGCAGCAGACAGCCAGGGTGGCTGGCAGGCAGAGGGTGATGAGGCCCAGAGAAGCCCCTCTGCCTGCTGAGTGGATGATGCAGGCCGAGAAGCCAGACCCCTGCTCGTAAGCGGCCACACACCAGCATGATGCCCACCTGGCCCGTGAGCGCCATGGCAGAGCTCCCCTGAGCCCGGCCGAAGGGCCCCTGATCTGCCCTTCCTCACAGAAACCACCTGTTGGCAATGGGTCCCCTTCGCCTCAGACCTTGGAGACTGTCCTTTTGGGGACAGCTTGGGTTCCAGCCGACCTCTGGTTCCAACCGGCCCCCACAAAGGCCGTGAGAAATCGCACGGGCAATGTCCAGGCCTCACTGGTAAGAAAGATGCTCAGCCAAGCCCAGGGCCGGGCCACCCCGCGAGGTCAGAAACCCGCCGTCAGCGCCGCCCCCCACCGCCCAGCCCTCCCACTCTCTCGCCTCCGTGTCTCCAGCTGGAGCTCACAAACAGCTCCTCGGGCCTCGAGGTCGGATGCGACAGATGTGTCACAGAGCCGGGCGCCATCTGTACCGCGGCTCCTGGCAGATGGCGGGACGTCTCCGAGCACAGAGGGCAGGGCTGGGCCGCGGCCTCTCCGTGGCGCCTGTTCCTGTGTGCCCGAGGCAGTACTCAGGCACGCTCAAGTTTCACGCTCCTGGGTGGGCCCGGGGCAGGGGTGGGTTGGGGGGGGGATGCCCAGAGGGCAGGTACTGCACTGCCCCTTGCTCCTCCAATCCCAGTGGGAGACCCAGGACCCGGCAGGGGCCGCCGCTCACCTTGTTGATCTTGTTGGTCTTGGGCAGCGTCTGGCTGATGTGCAGGTCAGAGTAGCGGGGCGGTTTGCGGAGAGGGTTGTTGATGTCGCAGGGGACCGACTCTGTCCGCACTAGCCTTGCTGGGTCCGTAGGGCAAAAAGAAATGAGGGAGCAACGTAAGGACCTGCTGAGCTCAGGGCGCCGGAGAGCAGAGCTCAGAGGCTGCCCTGAAGCCAACCCCCGGAGCCCCCAAGACTAGACGGCGGTTCCCAGAGGGGCTGGAGGTGGGGTCACCAGGCCCCTGTCTGGAACGGGAAGAGGGACTTGCTCTGGGCGCCTCACGTTTGGTGACGGCCAGCACGGGACTTGGCTAGGGCGGATTGGTTCTTATTTATTTATTTATTTATTTATTGCTTTTTGGGTCACACCCGGCGACGCACGGAGGTCACGCGCGGGGGACCATATGGGATGCTGGGAATCGAACCCGGGTCGGCTGCATGCAAGGCAAACGCCTTCCCCGCTGTATTATCGCTCCGGCCCCAGATTGGTTTTTCTTAAATATCACCACGGTTTTGCATGACATTCACCTCAGAATTGGGCCCCTTCTGGGAAACCAGGTGTCCCTGACTTCTCAGGGCATCTACGGCAGCTCTCCGTGGCTGCCGGCTCTTCCCTGCAACCTTGAGGGTCGGGTCCTCCTCTGATATTTGTGGGGGTTTTCAGGCCTGAAGGGCCCGGAGCACTTTTGTCCTAAAGTTGGCTGCCCCGGGGGTCCCTGAAGAAGGACTTCATTCTCTTCCCCGCTTCTGCGTTTCCCCCCTAACAGAATATGGGGCTAAAGGACTATTTTGTGACCCAAGTCACGCCAGCCAGGCTCCTCTCCCGGGCCCCTTCTTTACCCTCCGTCTGGACCAAGGACCCCGGGAAGGGACCAGAGCGAGAGGCTGGGCCCAGAGTCGCTCCCGCTGCAGTTTCTCATTTATCAGACGCGCTTCTCTGCCGCGTGCAGGGGAGTGTTGGCGGAGGAGCTGAAGCCTCGCACTGACCCGGGGATTTCATTTCTCTGCTTAGCCCCAGCTGCCATCTCCATGGAAACCGACTCTATTTCCAACTTCCGAGCGGCAGGGAAGGGGGTGGTGGGTGGGGAGCAAGACGCCGGTGGACTCGCCGAAAGTTCCTGGGCAGGTAGGGCGGCCTTGGGGGGACCCGAGGGGGCGGTGGCGGTGGGTGGGTGGGAGGCAGCCCACCTCAGAGGCCAGAGCTCCGAGGGAGGGCCGGCTTCTAGCAGGTTCCCTCTGGTCTCTCTGTGGGAGGCCAGCTCCCCTGGAGCCTGAGACGGAGGGGTGGGGAGGGGGCGCCCCCGACTGAGGCTGACCCCCCACGGGGACTCAACGCCGTGAGAACTCAGGGTTGAAAATAGCCTCGTGCTCATGGGCTGTGGACAGTTGTTCGAGGAACAGATGGTTCTTAATTAAGGCGCTGGGAAGGGCCCGAGAGGCGGAGAGTTTTCCTTCCCTTGCAAGTTCCTGGGCTGGGGAGGGACGCCAGGCAGACATCCTCGAAACCCCTCTGGAACACACCGCAGCCCTCTGGGCAAGCAAGCTGCCTCCTTCTGGAACTCTCTCTTGGGACAGGTTTCCCGCCCGCCCCGCCTCCCCCCTCCCCCCACCCCCTCCCCCGGGCTGGGGTGTAGCAGAGCGAGGGCTGATGTCTGCACACAGGCACAAGCCGGTTGGTTCCCTTCCAACCCCTGGGGGCGGAGGCAGGGTGCTGGCTACTGCCAGCCAGGAGGGTTTTTTAACTTTCCAATAAGCTGCTGACATTTTAAATCAGGTGAAGGCACCTAAAACTCTCCTGTGCCTTCCTCAGAGCCTCAGACAGGCGGTGGCCACGGGACCAAAGGACTGTTCTTGCTCCCCGGCTGAAATTCTCTACTGCTGGACCCCAGAGGCCTCTGGGCTTGCATTCCTCCTCAGCTTCAAAGGGCTCGAACCCTCTGCAGAGTGGACGGGGTCGGGGGCTGGAGTCAGGAATCAGGCATGCCTTACAGGCCCCCAGTGTTCGCAGGTGGCTGGTCTGTGGCCCCACATTCCCAGGGCAAAGGTCTGGCTCAGCAAGGTCCACTAGAACGTTATATGATGATGTACCTGTCTGTATGTGCATTCTTCAATGCGGTACCCACAGGGGCTATGGGCTCTGGAAATGTGGCTGAGCACTTTTTTTTTTAAATTACAAGCGACATTCAGATAGTCCAATGGGGTTAGTAGCTACAATAACGGACAGTATCGGCCTCCAGACAGGAGATGTCCCCTGGGCATATGCTATCATGTGGACTGGAGTCGGGGGCAAGCAGTCAGGTCCAGGGTCACTATCTACAGCTTCATGGGCAGTATCCCATTATGGAGTCCCCCACGAGTTTTTCCTTCCAGCAATACTGTCTTTGCTTTTTGCTGCACAGAAGGTTGGTAATAACTTTTCAGAGGTACCTGAGACCTCCCTACTTCACAGGGGGGCCTTGACACTCTTCAGACTCCAGGGGATAATATACAGATGGGGGGGTCAACCATCAGTCACCATCAAACCCCGAAACAGCCACCTTCCACGGGACCAGTGGGCAGGACACAAAGGAAGGACATGCTCTTGTGTGCTCATGGCTGGGGATGAGGAGCAAGAGAACTGGGGGAGGGAATGGGAGGGGAATCAGAAGGACAGTATGAAAAAGAAGATTTCAAGAAGGGAGATGAGTCTATGTCGATGCAGATGTGTCCAAGACACCAGAACAAGGGTAAGGAATAGGGAGAGCGCCTGGGGGTGTCAGGAGGGAAAATGTCAAAGGGAAAAAAAGGAGACAGGCAAGGATTAGGGAAAAGGGGCATCCAGGATTGTCTGGGTGGGACAGCCACCTCAGGTGGCCTGGGGAGTTCCCTGCTGGGTCCAGGGCAGCGAGTGTTGGATACTTACCTCCTCTGTGGATGATGAGCAGATGGCAGGGCGGGGCTTCTTTGGTGCATTTGTTGTGACACTTTAACCTGAGAGAAAAAGAAGAAAAGATGAGTGGATGGATAGATGGATGGGCGGTGGGTGGATGGATGAACAAATGCATAGACACATGGGCAGGGAGATGGACGGATGGATGGATGGATGGATGGATGGATGGATGGATGGATGGATAGATGGATGGATAGACAAATGGGCAGGGAGATAGATGGATGGATGGATGGATGGATGGATGGATGGATGGATGGATGGATGGAGACATGGGCAGGGAGATGGATGGATGGATGGATAGACAAATGGGCATGGAGATGGATGGATGGATGGATGGATGCATCAGTAGAGAGATGGACAGGAGAATGGGCAGGTGGGTGGGTGGATAAATGGGTGGGTGGGTGAATTTATGCATAGATGGATGGATAGATAGATGGATGACTGGGCAAATGGACAGATGAACAGGCACATGGATGGATGGATGGATGGATGATGGATGGATAGATGGAGAGTGGGAGGGATGAGTGGATGGATGGATGGATAGATGAATGAATGAATCAGGAGATAGACGAACAGATGAATGGGAGGTAGATGGATAGATGGGTGGGTAGGGTGGGGGTGGCTGAATTGATGCAGAATGGATGTATGGATAGATGGATGAATGGGTGGATGAAGAGATGAACAGGCAGATGAATGGATGAATGGAAGGAGGGTGGGAGGGATCAATTGGAGAGGCAGGTGGATGGATGCATGATGGATGGAGGGATAGATGGATGGAGGGTAAGTTGAAGGGTGAGAGCAGATGAGAATGATGGATAGAGGGATGGACGTAAGAGCAGGTGGATGAATGAGTAGACGAAGAGAGGTGGTGGAAGGAAGAAAGGTCCGGGAGGTTCAGAAAGCTCTGAGGTCTGTGGGAACCAACGTGTGATATCAGCGGCATCAGCTACTGCATACCCTGGGCACCCGGGAGAGTAAATGAACTTTGGAGAGGACAGTGCTTGGCTCCCACCGGCCAGCTTACCTGGGCCAGAAGTGGGCATCAACGATTTCACCAAGAGTGCCCATGCCCACAGATATGTTTTCCTACCCAGTTGTATTTCTCATCAGCAGCACCCATCGATCCTAGTCATCATTTCCTATTTGCCCGTGGCCCCATTTTTGAGCCCTTCTACACACACTCCACAGTCTACAGACAGTCGGACACTTCTAACACCCCCAAGTGACTACTGCTAGCACCCCCATTTTACAGAGAGAAGAACTGAGTCTGACTTGTCCACCTACAAACCGGGATCGGTGGTCCCCACATCCTGAAGGGCTCAGGCGATCAGAGAAGGCTAGGCAAATCTTCCCCTTCAGATAGATGAGTTGAGTTTTGAGAACTATTACGTTTAAGAATTCAGAGCTGGGACTGGAGTGATAGTCTAGTGGGTAGGGCGTTTGCCTTGCACCTGGCTGACCGGGTTCGACCCCCAGCATCCCATATGGTCCCCTGAGCACCGCCAGGAATAATTCCTGAGTGCAGAGCCAGGAGTAACCCCTGTGCATTGCCAGGTGTGACCCAAAAAAGCAAAAAAAAAAAAAATCAGTTAAAACATCCTCCTTTGAGATAAGGCTCAGATGGGAGTTTGCCGTAACTTCAAAAGAAGGATTCCCAACCCCCAATTGCTAGGACCTGGTGGTGACACTTTCTTGATTGTCCCCTGTCACCTGGAGGGCCACACACACACACACACCATGGCAAAGGTTACTCTGTTCCCTCAGGATTCCAGGACCATCTTCGTGTCTACCAGCCTCTGGCCACCGGTGGTTTCCCGGAGGCACCCTCTGGCCGCCCTGAGATTTCCTGTGCAAATGCTGCTCTGCGAGGGAGGGGTGTGGGATTACAGGCGCCCTCTCCCCCTTCGCCTTGGCACCGAGGGCCACGTGCAGGCCAGACACACACTGCATGGGGACTCCCCACAATCAGCCTAGCTCAGCGGTTCTCAAGGTGGGGGCCCGAGACACGCAGGGTCAGCACGCTCTGGGAAGCTGTCAGAAATGCCAGTTCCAGAGGCTCCACCCAGATCTGATGAGTCAGAGGCTGACGCTGATGAAGCACGATCTGTCTCCAGCCAGCACTCTGGGAGGTGTGGGGAGCACCAGGGTCCCAAGAGTGGCCCAGGATCGCGCTTCCCAACTAGGGGCCTAAGCCCCCCACGGGCCCCAGGATATTCCAATTGCATCAACTAGGGGGCACAGCATGAGGCCAGGGGACAATCAGTAGGATGGGGGCCACAAGGCGTGATCAAGGTCATGGGGGGGCCACGGTGGAAGCAGGTTGAGAAACTGCTCTAGTGGACAGACAGTTTGGGGATGGGTGTGCGGATTTTTTTTTTATTTGGGGGTCTTTTATGGCCTCCCAAGGGCCCGCGTTCCACCTTGCTGCAGGAAAGCGAGATTTGGGGACAGGAAGTGCCAGGGAAAGCTGGAGAGGTGTGAGTGGCGTGGAATGACACAGATTCTTGTAAGGAGAACCCGAACCTCTCACCAGTCTCCTCTCATCTGACTTGCCTGAGGGTCAATCTCTGGGTACCCCCTCTCTCCTCTGTTCCCGGCGGGACTGCTGTGCTCTCTGCAGAGAAGCACGCCTGCTTACCTTGCCAGTGAAATATCACTTTTTTCCAACTTGTCTTGTTCCTCATGGCAAGCTACGCTTCTCTATTTACATACTGTTTTGTTTTTTGGAGGGGGGGTCACACTTGGCGATGCACAGGGGTTCCTCCTGGCTCTGCACTCAGAAATCACTCCTGGCAATGCTCAGGGGACCCTATGGGATGCTGGGATTCGAACCTGGGTTGGCTGCGTGCAAGGCAGGCGCCCTACCCTCTGTGCGATCGCTCCAGCCCCCTGTTTTGCTCTAAATAATGTAGTTGGGAATCCAAAAGGCCATTCAGAGTCAACAAACAAATGGAGGGCTGCCCCCCCACTTGGCTAAACCATGGCCCAGTGGCCAGCTGCTGGCTAAACTGGGAAAGGTGACTGAGACCATCTGGAACCTTCCATAAGAGACGGCAGCTCACTGAGAGACTGGACAGCGGGCGGGAACGGAGGAGAACCCTGCGGGTCTACAGTGTGACCGCGTCTCGGGTGACCAAGACGGCCCATGCCAACGGCAGCAACTACTGCTGACCCCACTTCTGGAGCGGGCACCTGGGGCCCTGCCAACCTGGAGACCTGTCCCAGGTCTAGCACCAAGAGGTGGGCAGACCCAAAGAGTTCTCAAGAGTCTGTTGGGTTCTAGAGGCACCAGAGCCCTGGGAATCTTCTGGGCCTTGGGGAGATCCAGCTGCTGGGTGGGTAGCCCCGGATTGGGGGCGTCCCTGACACCAGAAGTTTCCACTCAGGTCTGGAAGCTTCCAGAAAGGTCTCATCTCTGCTCCGCCCTCCCACCCCGCCAGCTGCCAACCTTGTAGAGCAAGCCCTAGGGGGAGAGAGAGTGAGGTACCATTCGGGAAGGATACCCACCCCCTCAGCACCCACCTTCGGGCCACTGCCGAGCCAGGCCTGAAGACATTGGGAGACCCGACGAGCACCCCGTGATTATTAAAGGAAGCTGGGCACACCCGTTTGGTCAGTCACCACGGGCCATTCTGGTTTCAGATCGTGAACACCATGGTTTCAGATCCTGGTCCTGAACGTCTCCCAGAACATTCCAGAAGTCCTGCCACGTGTGGGCTGTGGGCTCCAGCCTGACTTGGGGGGGCGCTACCCACCAAGAGGCAAGCCCCCTTTGAGCTGAACACGACTGTTGCTGCGAGGACCCTGGGAAGAAATTCTCAGGGTTCCGCCCACAAGGTGGCACAAGGGGGCACCCCAAAGCCCGCACCCAGACGGGAAAGGGCTGCCTTCCAACCTCCTTGAACAAGTGCTCAATTTGTTTTTTAACTCCCAGTGATAAGATAAGCTTCAGTTATCAGGAGAGAAGTTGCTTACGAGGCTCATTCTCCCCCAGAGGAGCGCTGCCAGGGGAGACAGCCTCAAGCCAGCCTGAGGCAGAGCCGAGTCTTTGTCTCCGAAGCCCCCTTGCCCGCCCCTGCTTTGGAGTACCCGAACCCACTACAGCTAGTGCAAAGTACATTCTGGGCAGGGGCCGAGAGGTGGTTGAGGCGGGAGAAAGAAAACACAAAGCGAACAAACAAAAAAAAAACCAAAAAAACTGGGGACAGACACACAGTTCTGATCAATAATCAAAAAAGGATTTTTTTGGCCACACCCAGCAGTGCTCAGGAGTTCCTCCTGGCTCTGCACTCAGGCTTCACTCCTGGCGGTGCTTGGGGGACCCTATGGGATGCCGGGGGTTGAACCCGCGTCAAGCTTCAAGCAAAGCAGACAGCCTCCCGCTGTGCTATCACTCCAGGCCCCCAAAATGGTTTGTTTCTTTTCAAGGTACCCCCTGTTGCTTGTGAGAAACAGTCATGGCCCTGTCTGCATTCTCCCCCCTGGGCCCCTTCTCTTCCCCACCTGGCAGAGGGGGGCTGGACCTGGCCCAGATGCAACTGGACTCCCTGGAACTCTGGGACTGTGGTGGAGAGAGGACCCCAGGGTGGCAGCTTGGGTTTCCTACAGACCTGCCACCACCCCGGGGGAGGGTGGGCACTGGGATCATCAGACGGGCCCTTGGCCGTGCCCCTCGCTCACCCACCCCTCCCCCACGCAAGCTACTCATTGATTCCTGACAGCCTCCCTGTCATCATCTGTAAAACGGGGTTATGAACACAGCCTTCCCCGAGCTGTTTCGAGAATTAAATGAAATCAAATTAAATGCGTGCCCAGTCTTCAGCCCGGCCCTCGGCAAGTCCCTGGCATGTGGGTACCGTGAGTGTCACCACTGCCGCCATCGTCATCCTCAACAACCCCCGGCTCAGCCTCCGGGAGAAAGTCTCGGCAGCGCAACTGTAATTGGACTCCGGTTTTCGCTTACAATCAGGTAAGAAGTGCCTACGAGGGACCGTTAATTCCTGTTATGATTGAGGGGAAAAGCTGAAGTGTTTCTATTCGT